GTCTGATCAGCTCCGCAAGGAGCTGGACCGGTAGAAAATAAAGAGCCATACGCGCCGAAACGAGGGACAACTAGTACCGACTATTCACGTCCCTCGCAGACGCTATCATGATGAAATGCTTTCTGCCCGTAATCGTAAGATGCAGTTTTGCCGACTCAAGAGACAGAGATCTTGTTCGGCTTGTGCGGAAGGAACCCGCGCACAAACGTCAACGCTGCTTTTCGTGCGTGGCGAGCAACATCATCCGGCTTGCTCTTTATCTTGTCCATCACCGGAATCGGCCTTCCCCTGGTTGGCGACGTTGTCGTCGCAGAGCTGGAGGAGGTAGGAGGAGGAGGAGAAGACGGGACTGCAGACACAGCGCAAGCACGAGTCTGGAGCCTATCCACAGGCCCGTCTAATCGTCAATCGATGCCATATTGCTTCTTGAGCTGACCTAAACTCTCCTGGCGGGCCTGTACGTCGTCTTTCGACTCCTTCATCTTCATGGTCTTCTCTGGTTGGTGCCATAGCACTGCAAATCGGTCAGCCAGCGTGCCAAGAAGCAAGGGCCCTCGCATCGGACAACGTACCGACTAGGTATCTGTTTTGGAAGTTGAAGCCGTTCAGCTTCTCAAGGGCGTTCTTTGCGTCCATTGCATTCCAGAAGACGACATAGGCGGTTCCCTTCGTATCGACAGAGATGCCCTTGCGGATTTGGCTTCGCATGCGTTAGCAGGTTGGCCTGTTACGATGTAGGAAAGATATGTAGGAAGACGCAGGCTGCGTGGGCGGGCCTACCGGATGATACCCGTCTCGTCAGGGTCGAAGAGCTTGAAGAGGTCGCCGTCTGTGACTTCGTAGCTAGAAAAGCGTGGGATGTTAGACTCTACCACAGTCTGCTGGAGGGGAGGGACTGCTGCTCCCGCAGCGCGGTGTCGACGCACTTGAGGTTCTTGATGAATAGGACTCTGTGTAGCAGCATGTCAGCTCGTGTAAGGTGTGCCAGTGCAGGGCGGCGTGCAGGGCGGCGTGCAGGGCGGGCGCAGACTCACGGCAACTGCTCGGGGGCAAGCTTTCCGGCGCGACTCATATCTTGATGGCTGTAAAAGTCCGAAAGGCTAAGGCGGTTCCTGGTAGTGGCACGATTCTAGGGGTGCTCGATAGGTAAACAGTCGATACTGGGGGGACGGTCGGGATAGAGCCGATGCACGAGACGTGGATGTAAGGGTACGTGAACGGGGGTTTTGGAGAAGTGGTTGAGTCTTGAACGCCCAGAGGACGGCCACCAATCCTGGCAATCCCATCATACGGACCGATCGGGGCGGGGGCCCACTTCTTCTGGTCCTCTGGGCCACGTGATAAGATAGAGGCCTGGTAGGCTCGGTAGAGGCAACCTCTAGGTTGGTCACTCAAAATCTGGGGTGGAACCACTAAAAGATAAGCCACCCCGCTGCTGCTGCTGCTGCAGATGGGCTTCGATTCCAATTTACCAAGCTGCGTTATCTACTACTACCAAGTAGGTAGGCACCTACATCGCACGATGGGACACAAAGTGCCCACGTTGCCGGTTACCAGGTGCGAGCTTACTAGCCTCGATGCTGACAGTCTCCTTTGAATGCGCTGGATTATCCGAGGTCATCTTACGTACTCGCACGTGTACCGGCCAAGTGGTCGCCCTTATAACGGTCTACAAGTCTTGGCCGTCTTATGGTCAGGTTACTTCCAGAGGGGCCGGGTTCTTGTGCTTGGATGCCAGGGAGCAAGACAGTAAGTAATACGATGCTACCGCGCCACTGAAGAGATTGAGATTGCATTCACAGTTGGAGGCTTATGACAGCCAGTATCAGCATTCCGGTGTATGTTGCGGCTTGGCTGGGGCTGTACAATGAGAGTTTTCCTTTTCAGCTGGCCGGGACTGGATGGAAAATAGTACGGCCGTCCTTTCCATCATCTCCCTACGCTTCACCCTTATGAGTAGAGATGACGTTTAATATTATTCGAGGACGAGCTGTTATAAGTATACCCTCACATCAAATCCGAAATTAGTTCGTATCACGTGACCATGCAGTCAGTAGAACGTCTCTTAGGAGGTACTTGCGTCAATCGTAGATTGCACCCGCTTCGTTTCCTCTACATCATCCAGACACCTACTTCTCTTATTGCTACCCACTTCATGTATACGCCCACAGATTACACATACGTCTTGCGGCTTGCTGTGGCCTTGGAGGGCAGTCTGGTACTACTACGACACCTCGGTTGCTATTTATCGTTATGCATCCCGTCTTATTGTATCACTTCACAAGGGGGCATTGTTCACACGGTGTCATGGGAACAGGAGGCGATGTCCATCAATGATCAAATTACCTTGAACTGCAAATACACTCAGATAATCCCGATAGCGCTTCAGCCTCGCTAATCAGCCAGTTGATGGCTAGATCCTACACGGGAGACACAAGTTGATGTGCTGACTCCTAACGCTTCGTCGCTTCCACCATGTGCCACCCTCCCATCGCTTCCGTCTGCACTTCGGGGGGGGCGCAGATTTAGTTCGGCTCTTTGGAGATGAGTGTGATGACGAAACTGCTGGGCCCATCTTGCTCGTGCCGCAGCTGCTGTGGCCAGTCCGCCTCCGACTCGATATTCACTTTCGCCTCGTCATCGTTCCATGCGAAGTAGATGGAGCCGTTGGCCAGGAACACGCTGGACTTGACGTTGCGGACGCGTATAGCGGTCGTGACGGTGCCCTTGGACGCTGAGATGCTGCCGGCGATCCTGGACGAGTCGCCGTCGTTGGAGAAGATGGTCCTCTCCTCAGAGTCGTGCATCTTCACGATGAGTTCCCAGTCCCTGGGTTGGCCGCCCGTGTCGTCGACAAACTTGAAATTGACGACGTGGGTGCCGACCTCGTCGAGCCTGAGACGGTTGAAGTCCCATCCCTGGAGATCGGGCTGCCTGCCCCGGATGTAGCTGTATCTGCCATCCGTGTCGGGCTCGTTCCACACGAGCACCTTGACCGCGGTGCCGACCTTGGCGGAATGGTACTTGTCGAGGAGCGTCCCGGGTCGAAAATCATCGCTCTCGAAGATGCTGTATGTATGCCACTCGCCCCCGTAATCTTTCTTCTCATAAAAGTCGGCAGCCACGTTGCCTGGAGGGTGGTCGTCGCCCATGGTGGAAAGTTATGTGATATTGACTGGACAGGGGATGAAAGACAGAAGCTCTCTGGGTGGCTGTTGGTCCTTGTGATTGTAAGTCTCTCGTGGGGATGTTGTTTCTTAGTGATTTCAAAGTTCTGGGTTGGATCTGACAGCAACATGAATGATCGATGCCCATTCTTATATCCCCAGCGTCAAGCACTTACGTTGTACTGAGATGGCGCTTTCAAGCCATGATGGCGAGGAGACCGTGCCGGTGAGTGCGGCCAACACAATGTGCCAAGAGGATGATACGAGCTCAGTTTGACCACTTTTCTCGCTTCGGTCTCGCAACCTTAAAGCGGCTTGTGTAGATGGTTTGTCTGAGGCAAGTCCCGGGACGATCATCGTGATCGAGCAAGTATGCTATTCATTATTGGGCCGCTTGGAAAAGAAATATCACGTCGGGAGTAGGAAGTCCAGAGGTATAATATCTCATGCTGGTATAATATTACACGACAGAGAAGAAACATATGTTACTGCATAGGAAAGGCCATGTGTTGGGTCCAGACAGCCACTCTACAACAGAAGCTTGTTCTCCTTCGCTTCATGAATTCATTTTCGTTACGTAGTATCAGAACCGTATGTTGGTTCTTGACAATGAACCACATCACTAGTCCGCCGGATGTCACCATTGCGTCAGATTCGTACGTTATGAAAAGCAAAAACTACTCATTAACAATCCCACACCACAATTTAGGCTCAGTAGATCTAATAGAAATACACAACTTGATGTGCTTTGTAATTTGAGTTTGCGGTATTTTGTTGTTTAACTCTTGCTCGACTGTTTCTTAGTTTCTTACTGGTATAACACCGGGATCCAATCCCTATTATACATACAGTGAGGTAATATGAATACAGGCACACCTGACAACAGTATCCGGAGTTATCACGGCAGAGAGGGAACTTTGGCGAGGCTTCTTCATCTAAGCTTTGCCAGGCTAGCGAACCGTGAGGCTCATGTGTGTATACCTTAGGGAGGTGATATATTCTGCACCAAATCGGGGCAACGTGCTTCAACCCACCATGCCGTGTAACCGCAAATCCAGAAGTGACTATTGCCGAAATGCTATAATTACGTGATCCTGTAGGTCGTGGCACCCTATGCCGCCGCCATCATGCACGGCCACTGTGCTGAGTCCTTGCCATCATCTTAGGAACTACTCAAGTTACCCAATTAGCACCAAATCCGACAGCCACTCTTTGTTACGGCGGCTGAAGAACTGTAATATATACGTCACTTTGGTCTTGGAGACAGCCATTGTCACCAACCAGCCACGCGGGAGGCCGCTTCATCCGACCCCCATCCTGCCGCTTTTACCGGAACCACTTCTCGACGACGGCCTCATCACAGGTAACAATTGGCTCGACTCACGGCGTGCGTACCCCGCACTATACTCACCGGTGTTGTATCCAATATAGTAATGGAGTCAAAACTCGGACCCCGAGACGGCTTACCACACATCTCCGCTCACTGACGGCTTGGTCCGACGCACTCTAAATAAGCGATGTAGCCGAAAGTGTCGTAGAACGGCATGTACACCCGATTGGCACCATTAAAACAAGGTATCGTACGTGTATGACTGCTCATGAACTAAGTCAGGAAGCATGTGTGACAAAGTATCAAACTTATTCTCACACTGGACTGATCACATTGCATGTGATGGCAGCGTTGCTACAATATAAACAATGCTTGATTGTAAAACTGGCACATAATGAGCATAAGATCTTTTCAAACGGAAAGCTACTAGTTATAGTGGGAGTTATAGGAATATAGGGTAATAAAAAAATCAAGCGAAACAACCTACAGTTTATGTTTGCTAAGCCCGGCTGGCGTAATGGTTAACGCGTAAGACTTCTACGTAAAGCAGTAATCTTAAGATTGCGAGTTCGAGTCTCGCGTTGGGTTGTCTTTTTGGTCTAGACATGATATATGAAGCAGATAGATGGTGGCGGATGGAAGATTTTACGACTTCGCCTGAGTGCACTAATGCCTGTCAGTGATGATGCTATGTAACCGTGTATATGACCAAGGCAGTGCGGTCCATAAGGAGCCAGCCGTAAACTAGAGGGGGTGCTATTACTTTTCCTTGTAAAGGGCTAAAATAGCTTCGTGGGCGGATGTACCGTGATGTGTAATGGAAGTGAATTAGGTTGGATGCTTTCGTTTTTCCCGCAGCGCAGCGCAGAGGGAGGCGTCATCATTGATGACGATGGCAATGCAACTACCAGAGGTATGTACTTACTTAAGTATATACATATTGCCGTTTCCATCCGCAATAAATGTACGTGCCTTCATTTGTTTCTTTGTATCAGTCCTGCCGGGTAGCCTTCCTTGTAGAGGGAGAGAGAGAAACAGGGGGAGTGTTTTACCGGTCTTTTTGATTGTTAGATGTGTTTAATTTATTTCTCTACAATCTCAGACCACGACATTGGCGTAGTTCATCTTTACTAAAGTTTTATAACCAACGATTGCAGCTGTCAACTTCTGTGAGGGGGCTTTGGGTGAAGCAGCTTTTAGATATATAGAATCAAGAGTGAACCACCATCTGTGATTTACACGTTCGACGTCAAGAATCACAAGCTTGTTAAGACGTAGGTAGGTGGTGTTTTGCTAGTTGATAAATAGATAAATCAAACGTGCATTTACTAAAAGAGCTGGGATGCCAAGCATCTAGTCTTGTTTCAGTAATACTTTATTTCATAGTCTCAATGGGGCCCGCTACTTTAGGGTCCATTGATATCTGATAGGTTAGGTTAGGTAGGTATCGCATTCGCTGATACCATTCACTAGCGCACCTACAGGCTGAAGCAGCAACATCCGCCTCCAGTGCCCAGACCAAGATTCAATAACCACGCCAGCCCGACTATTTACATGAGCTGACACAGAGCTTTCTGGGTAGGCCACGACCTCGACACTTTAGCTCCTGGCCTCTCCCAATTCTCTCCCTGTTTGAACCTGCTGCATCCGCCTCGTCCTCTACCTTCATTTACCCTTCTAGCTCCAGGTACCCTCCTGGCTAGCCCTCGTCCATCTTGGCTGTGTCGACTTTCCAACGTCTCCTCGCGACTGAGCTGTCATACCAATCCACACTTCATATGGTGATGGTGCCCAAGTAGACCACGCAGCACCAGACTCATGCCATCAGCAACACAAGCGGACCATTCTATGGCATCGCCATCATCCAAGAAAAGAAGACGAGAAGACGGCGGAGAGGTGCCCGTGCCATTGTATGATCCCCCAGCAGAACAGCACCGACTATCTACCACGGGGGGGTCTTTCCAGTCAACTAACATGGGCCCGCCTATCTCCAGGAGCTCCGCACTCGAAGCGTCCCAGAACCTGCTATCCGCCATAAACAACAATGAACGGCTGCTCAGGCCCTTCAACGTCCCGCGCAAAACCGCCGCCCTGCCCGTGAGCAAGCGATTTCGATTCATGGGCGACGGCCACCACGGACATGTAGACAGCCACTATCTGCACCATGACGACTTCCCCTGCTCTCCTCTCCCGCAGCCGCAGCAATCCTACTTCTCCCACGCCCATCCGGAGTTGAACCCGGCCGCCGCCGCCGCCCCCAGAACCACGTCCTCCGCGCTCCTCAGTCCGTGCTACATATGTCACAGGAAGCCGACCAAGAAAACCGACCTCGACTCCTTTGGCGACTGCAGCGGCTGCGGCAACCGGACCTGCTTCGTCTGTCTGCGGGCCTGCCGGGACTGGCTGCCGGCGTCGGACGGAGAGAGGCCCGACCGCCCGGCCGCTGAGGTGGAGGACTTGTCGTCAGTGTCCTTTACCATGAGGGACGTGGATGACGAGAACAGCAGCCATGACGATGCCAGTAAGACCTCCGACGCGCAAAAACCACAGCAGAGGCCGAAGAAGGGGGAGGGAGGCGGCGGCGGCAGCGGCGGAGACAGTAGCTGGAACGGCCGCGGCCACTGCGACGTCATCTGCAGTCGGTGCTGCGTCGAGCAGGGGAGCGAGGGGGACGTCGTCTGCTTAGGGTGCCTAGCTGGCATGGAAGGGGTCTGAGAGGATATATATACCCCCGTTGAGTTGAAGCGAGCTGACGGGCGAAAGAACACAAACATCAAAATTCCTCGGTTGGGGGGGGGGGCGGGGGCGGGGGGGGGGGGGGGGGGGGGGGGGGGGGGGGGGGGGGGGGGGGGGGGGGGGGGGGGGGGGGGGGGGGGGGGAAGA